AATAAAAGTTATTATGTAACTGAGCTCATGTAATTCATGGGAGAATTAAATGGAATAGTTAATATGAATGGACAAGTTGTGGGTGCCCTTAGATTGTTAGAAAATGCCCAGGTTTCGGTGGGGTGATAGAATAGCAGCTAATATTTATCAGGTGATTGCTAAATGCCAACCTTTATACATGCTGTCTGTCCTTTAACCTTCCAAGCAGTCCTTACAATTCACATCATCCCATATCTTAGATGGGGAAACTGAGGCTCAGTGTGGCTAACTACCTTGCCCAAGGGCCCAAAGCTAAAGCCAGGAAATAGCAGAACCAGGATTCTAACCCAAGTCAAGTAGCTTCTGTTTTCAGCCACTTGGCAAGAGGATCCAGTATCTGTGTATTTCAAGGAAACTCCACCTAGTTATTACTGGATCAGTACATGCCATGTATGCATACGATCAAAATATTTGGGTTCTCTGTTGGTCTGGGATCTCTCTAATGATTAACCACAAAACATTCACATAGTCAGTTAACATGTCTCAAAGTGCTTCACTTTAAAAACTATGGAAAAGGAAAGGAAGATGCAAAAGGAAAGGTCACAGTCAAGAGGAGCGCACATCATGGAGCAAAGGATAGTAGCGAAATTCATCTTAACTTCTGTGCTGGGGGAAGCCAAGTAGTGAATTTCAAGCTTCAGTGGACACCAGAAGATACAGGCTATCCCCTTCAGTGGGGTGTGTTTGCTGTGCTGAGTTGCTCAATCATGTCGGACTCTTTGCGACTCCAGGGACTGTAGCCCGCCAGGCTCTTCTGTCCACGAGGATTCTCCAGGCCAGAATACTGGAGTGGGTTGCCGTGCCCCTCCTCCAGGGGATCTTCCCAACCCAAGGATGGAACCCAGGTCTCCCACAATGCAGGTGGATTCTTTACCATCTGAGCCGTAAGGGAAGTGCGCACGCGTGTGTGTGTCTGTCTGTCTTTAGAAGGTATTGGGCATTCCCAATGTCGGTCATCTAGGAAAGAGGCATATCTTAGGATGGGATAAGCCCAATGTCAGTCATCTAGGAAAGAGGCATATTTTAGGATGAGATAAGATCTTGGAATGTGGGCTTTAAGAAGGAGATAGAACATCTTTCTTCTTCATGGAGGGCGGGGTTCCTTTGGGGCTAAACTCTTGAGTCTGCGTGTTTGCAGCACCAAAGCATGGGCTGCAAAAAGTGTGGATGAAGTGAGGGGACCCCATGAGGATATCTTGAGGCTGGTGGACTCTAAAAGCAGCTATACCCAATGCCCAGTTTTAAATTATTCTGTTTGTTATTTCCTTACCCACAAACCTGTTGGGTCTTCACCATTCTATTCTGATCTCAGTAGTGAAGTGGGGTGATGGGAGAGGGTCTGTGTTCTATCTTTGGAGTAAAGAAAAAAGCTGCTCCCTGCTAAGCCCAGCATTGTGGTGACAGATAAACTCCTGACCCTGTCAGTCCTCCAGACTGGGTGTTACTTTGATTACTGTTAACACGGAGTTGTTCAGTCTGTCAGTTGTGTCCAACTCTTAAGCAGCCCCATGGACTGTAGCCCGCCACGCTTCTCTGTTCATGGGATTTTCCAGGCAAGAATACTGGAGTGGGTTGCCAGTTCCTTCTCTAGGGGATCTTCCCAATCCAGGGATCAAACCTGTGATCTACCTGGGGTGTTAATGGGATTTAGCACGTCTTCCTCCAAATGTTATGCAGACAGGGAGAAGATAAGCCTTGCTGGAGAGTATGTTGGAAGGATGAAGGAAGAAGCTGCATGAGCCCAGGTAACAAATGTCTTTGAATTCATTAGTTCATTCAGTGCTATGTGCCACTCGTATGTGCCACTGGACATGTAGGCAGTGGGTTTACATCAGTAAACAGTGAACACTAAGTCTAACCTAGTGAAGCCAGCAGATAGTCTGGCAATATCCTACAATATGGGCTTCCTTGGTAGCTCAGCTGGTAGGAGCAAAGGATAGTAGCGAAATTCATCTTAACTTCTGTGCTGGGGGAAGCCAAGTAGTGAATTTCAAGCTTCAGTGGACACCAGAAGATACAGGCTATCCCCTTCAGTGGGGTGTGTTTGCTGTGCTGAGTTGCTCAATCATGTCGGACTCTTTGCGACTCCAGGGACTGTAGCCCGCCAGGCTCTTCTGTCCACGAGGATTCTCCAGGCCAGAATACTGGAGTGGGTTGCCGTGCCCCTCCTCCAGGGGATCTTCCCAACCCAAGGATGGAACCCAGGTCTCCCACAATGCAGGTGGATTCTTTACTATCTGAGCCGTAAGGGAAGTGCGCACGCGTGTGTGTGTCTGTCTGTCTTTAGAAGGTATTGGGCATTCCCAATGTTGGTCATCTAGGAAAGAGGCATATCTTAGGATGGGATAAGCCCAATGTCAGTCATCTAGGAAAGAGGCATATTTTAGGATGAGATAAGATCTTGGAATGTGGGCTTTAAGAAGGAGATAGAACATCTTTCTTCTTCATGGAGGGCGGGGTTCCTTTGGGGCTAAACTCTTGAGTCTGCGTGTTTGCAGCACCAAAGCATGGGCTGCAAAAAGTGTGGATGAAGTGAGGGGACCCCATGAGGATATCTTGAGGCTGGTGGACTCTAAAAGCAGCTATACCCAATGCCCAGTTTTAAATTATTCTGTTTGTTATTTCCTTACCCACAAACCTGTTGGGTCTTCACCATTCTATTCTGATCTCAGTAGTGAAGTGGGGTGATGGGAGAGGGTCTGTGTTCTATCTTTGGAGTAAAGAAAAAAGCTGCTCCCTGCTAAGCCCAGCATTGTGGTGACAGATAAACTCCTGACCCTGTCAGTCCTCCAGACTGGGTGTTACTTTGATTACTGTTAACACGGAGTTGTTCAGTCTGTCAGTTGTGTCCAACTCTTAAGCAGCCCCATGGACTGTAGCCCGCCACGCTTCTCTGTTCATGGGATTTTCCAGGCAAGAATACTGGAGTGGGTTGCCAGTTCCTTCTCTAGGGGATCTTCCCAATCCAGGGATCAAACCTGTGATCTACCTGGGGTGTTAATGGGATTTAGCACATCTTCCTCCAAATGTTATGCAGACAGGGAGAAGATAAGCCTTGCTGGAGAGTATGTTGGGAGGATGAAGGAAGAAGCTGCATGAGCCCAGGTAACAAATGTCTTTGAATTCATTAGTTCATTCAATGCTATGTGCCACTCGTATGTGCCACTGGACATGTAGGCAGTGGGTTTACATCAGTAAACAGTGAACACTAAGTCTAACCTAGTGAAGCCAGCAGATAGTCTGGCAATATCCTACAATATGGGCTTCCTTGGTAGCTCAGCTGGTCAAGAATCCACTTGCAATGCAGGAGACCCTGGTTTGATTTGTGGGTCGGGAAGATCCCCTGGAGAAGGGATAGGCTACCCGCTCCAGTTTTCTTGGGCTTCCCTGCTGGCTCAGATGGTAAAGAATCTGCCTGCAATGCCAGAGACCTGGGTTCAATCCCTGGGTTTGGAAGATCTGGAGAAGGGCATGGTAACCCACTCCAGTATTGCTGCCTGGATAATTCCATGGACAGAGGAGCCTGGTGGGCTATAGTCCATGGGGTTTGCAAAGAGTTGGACACAACTGAGTGACTAAGCATGGCAGAGTGGCACATCCTGATATAAGGGGACCTCAAAACTGGTATTTGATGGATTCTGACCCCTAGGTGTGACAGTAAAAGAAAAGGAGTAAACTTCAGAAGAGTTTAGCAGTAATACAAGGAATTCTCATTAAGGAATTTTTTTATTCACTCAGCAAATTTATTGAGTACCTACTATAAGTTAGGCCACATATTATGTGCCAGAGAAATGAAAGTAGAGACATGGCCCTTCCTCATGCTCAAACAGTATTGTGGCTGAAGACTGAAAAAAGAAAGGAAAAAGGGCTTCCCAGGTGGTGCTAGTGGTAAAGAACCCACCTGCAATGTAGGAGACAAGGGTTTGATCCTTGGGTCTGGAATATCCCCCAGAGAAAAAAATGGCAACCCACTCCAATATTCTTGCCTGAAGAATCCCATGGACAGAGGAACCTGGTGGGCTACAGTCCATGGGGTTGCAAAGAATTGGAGGCGTGCTGCGATTCATGGGGTCGCAGAGTCAGACCCGACTGGGCGACTGAACTGAACTGAGGAGACTTAGCGCACATGCAGGTGCTAAGAAACTAACTGGAGGCTGCCTGGGTGACAGTGGAAGCTACTCTAGAAACGACGGTCTGAGGAGAGACGTGCGGCGGAGACAAAAGCACCTCCCCTTCAGTAGGACTTCATTATCAAAGACAGTCAGTTCAGTTCAGTCACTCAGTCGTGTCNAGGGAAGTCCCTAGAGCATGGGGTCCAAGGAAGAGGCATGAGTTGAGATGTCAGACAAAATTAGAGCCTGGCACGCCATAGCAGTCAGTTTAACTGGATAAATTTGTGCCAAGCCCAGAGACAACATCTGGTACTAGAACTTGGGACATACACTTCAAAGACAAAACTGCTTAAAACAGCCCTTCAGGCTTTGGCCCCTGGTACATTCACTGGTCTCTGCAGTTCCCTTTCCCCAGCCGCACCCCAGAGGCGCCTGGGGCCCCGAACCAGGGTGGAGTCCCAGGCTCTCGCCTGCGTTTGACATTTCCCGCCACCAGAGGGCGCTGCAAGCAGCTCGCCCTCCACTAGCCGCTCTTCCCTAGAATAAGGGATGGACTAGGGGCGCGATGCGGACTGCGGAGCCGCTGTTGGCTCTGGGCTGTAGGCCAGGGTGTCAACGCTAATGCCTGCCGCAGCCCAAAGAGAACACAAAAGCTACGTACAAGCTGCAAGGGCCAGCCCAGGCTTCCGCGCACATTCGGCGCGCGCTGCGTCCGTCCTGCGTTGGGGGAGGCGGAGCCCCGCCCTCGCCCCGCCCACCCCAGTCGCTCGAACGACCCTGCGCTCCTGAGGCCGGAAGCGCTCGCGAGCAGGCGCGCGCGCTCTCGCGTTTTCCGGCGTCCCCGAGGTTTCCCCGAGCAACGGCCCCTCTGCGCGCTCACGCTGCTTCCGGGGTTCCCGGGCCGGCGTTGCTCCGAGGCGGCTGCGCGCGCGCTGCTCCGGCTGTTCCCCGCCCAGAGGCGTGCTGGTCTCCCAGGGCCGACTCAGGCATGTGCTCCTTAGCGTCAGGCGCTACCGGTGGGTACCCCGGCCCCTCGGCACGCAGGCCGCGCCGCCGTGGGGCCAGTGAGAGCCCCCTTCTCCCCCGGGCGGAGGGGCCCCTTGGAGAGGAACGGGGAGGTGCGGGGGGGCGGGGAGGGCCGGCTGGGCCCAAGGCCTTCACCCCTCCCTGCCGCTCGTGCGCCGGGTTAGCACTGGTGTCCGTTTGCTTGTGCTAGGCGCCGCGGAGGAGGAGGACCCGCCAGGCCTGTCCGACAGCGGAGACGAGGCCAGCTGGGAGGATGAGGACGACGCGGATCTCCCCCACGCCGAGCAGCGGACCCCCTGCCTGTTCTGCGACAGGTTCGTCCGTCTCAGCGCCAGGCTCCGGCCCAGGGTGGCCAAGCCACGTGGGTTTTCGTGGTCGGTTCTGCTGGAGTCTGTAGGCCAAGTGGCTGCCCTGGAAATCTGGAAGCCATGGTTGGGAGTGAGGGTTTGTCCAGAGGGAGGAGCCATGAACTGGAAGCCAGGTTACAATATTGGTCTTCGACGGTCCTTAGTTTCCCCTTGTGTAAAAATAAAAGTCTTCTGGACTGGATCTGTGGTTCCCTAGTCTGGTTCTCACCTAAAACACTTAAAAAAATAACATGCTAAATTCTGCGCCTCCGCCCTTCTAGATCAGGGTTAGTGTCTAGGAATCTGCTTTTTTACAAAGACACTATCCGAAGTGATTCTAAAGAGTAACAAGTTTGGGAGTCACTAAACTAGATTAATCCCTCAGAATCCTTCCGGCTCTCCCTTTCTATATTTGTTTGACAAGTAGAAAGCTTTTCAGGTGTAAAATAGTTCCATTTGAACCATTTAAAGAACCACGTTTGTTAGAGGATCCCCACCTGTTGAAGGTGAAGGAAATTGATGCCTTTTTGAGAGAAAGTAACTTGTTCAGAGTTGCAGAGCTGTGGTTTGTCTTACAGCCAAAACAGTGTTCTTTGAATTTAAATTCTGCTGCTTCTTCTCAACAAACTTTGACTTTGCTTCTTTGGGCAAGTGGGGATGAAAGAGGACTGATTGGCGTTGACTAGTATTACTTTAATAAACATTTTATTAGTTCCTCCTGAGTTTGGGCATGGTGCTGATTGATGGTATATTAGCATCTCTGGATTTCGTCAGTTTCCTCGTGTAGCCTCATTTGAGTAAATAAGGGATGTGTGCATATACTCTAGTCACAAAATATTTACTGAGTATCAGGGAGGTACTCCTTTGCGATAGGTTGGGTAAATACTACAAAAATAACCTATCTTGGTAAATGTTTATTTAAAACTGCTGTCTATGTGCTAAGCGTAAAGGTGTGTCTCTGCTGTAAATTCCTGACTTACTGTGCATCCTTCAGTTTTGCAGATAACAGAATAAAGCAGCTTGGGCCTCCCAGTGTCTGTAATGCAAATCCTTGGGGAGCACGATAAGACCAGTTTTTGCAATATGGCACTTTGGAAATGTGCCAGTTATAAAATTGCATTTTATACTTTATTTCTAAAAGACGTTTGACCCTATGCTAGTTCAGAGCCTCTGAAAACAAGAGTTGATACTTGGAGGAAAAAAGAGTCTTACATGGGGAATGTTCATGTCTTGAGAGACACAGATTATCAAAGGGATTTCTCTCTCAAAAGCTTTGTGATAAATTCACTGCTATTGTTTGGCATATTAATCTTGACCTTTAAAGCATTGTTTTAGGTGTAAAATGGGACTCAGAAGTACTAATTCCCTTTAGAAGTGCTGGGATCCTCTTTACAGGTGGTTTTTATTATTATTAATTGGAAGTAACACTGGAAACTTGTAGAGTGAGGGGAAAAGTTTATATTTGATTAAGTATGAAATCAATATACTTAGAGTTGTTAGGTGACTATTCCATGAAGCTGTTGCTTGATTTTTCAGGTTATTTACATCTGCTGAAGAAACATTTTCACACTGTAAGGCGGAGCATCAATTTAGTATTGATAACATGGTTCATAAACATGGTAAGTATTTTTTAGAATAAAGTTTTAGTAATGAAATTCAAATTCAAATTATATTTTTCCACATCTTCATTTTCTATACAAGTCTAATATAATTAAACATATAGTAACAGTTTATGAAAATGAGGTGTTTTTGGCAAGTGGCTTTTGAGGAAAGATTAATAAGTCATTCTTCTAGGTAAGATTCATTGTATTTAAGCTTAAATTGGCTTCACAGCTAAAAAATGAAAAAAAAAAAACACCCTTGGCATGTGATTGCATTTTAATCATTTTAAGAGAAGGGGGAGATATTAGAATTAGGGAGAATAAGGGTAAAGGTGGACTTTGAAAAAGGAGGCAGATCATTATGAAAAAAGACAGCTTACAGCTCAGAGCATAACATAGACTTCAGGGCATACAAGATTGAGTTTTATGAGGAGTTCGGTAAGAGAGTATGGAAGTAGGGAGTGATACAGTTAAGGTGGTAGCCGGAGGTTCAGATGATGATTCTGTTGTAACTTGGATCTAGGCATACTTAAAGCCTTTTCCTCTAAATAAATATTGAAGAGCTACAGTAGGGTACTAAAATTCAGTAGAGAATTGACTTTTTGGTCCCTGTATTTACTAATAACTAGAAAGGACATTACTGAAGAATAGCAAATAGGCAGATTTTAGACCTTAGATACACATATGATGCAGTATGTTTGTGACCCATAAGTTCAACCGCAACTATTTTTGTAAGACACAAACTACTGTTTCATTGTTTTTTTTCGTATTTCTAATGTGCTTTTTTAAATTGGAATCATGCTTAATATAACTTTATGTTTTCACTTACCAAATAGGGGTGTTGTATGTTATTATGCGTATGAAACACTTTCAAATACCAGTATGTTCTCATAACTCTTTCGCCAGGGCTTTCCTGGTGGCTCAGCGGTAAAGAATCCGCCTGCATTGCAGGAGGCGCAGGAGCTGCATGTTCGATTCCTAGGTCGGGAAGATCCCTTGGGGGAGGGCATGGCAACCCACTCCAGTATTCTTGCCTGCAGAATCACAAGGACAGAGGAACCTGGAACGCTGCCATTCATAGGGTTGTACAGAGTGGGACATGAGAAGTAACTAGCACATGTTCTCATAACAGTCTTTCTCATGACAAATAATAATTGGTTGGAATGCTATTTTCTCTTCCTTATTTTAAATGCTGCTTCATTTCTGAAAAGGTGAGAACCAGATACAAGCCTTATTGTTTCTTCATTTGTATCATTTAACTTAATGTAAAAGCTAGTACACTTGGTATAGTCTGTGACTTGGCAAAATGGTAGTTTGACAGATGCTGTAAAAATTGGGGAATTAGAAAATTTGGCTCTAGTGTCAACTGCCAAATACTTGGTAAAATCTAAGGCCTAATTTTCCTTATTTGTATTTTTCTGAGAAGAGTTGAATTCTAAAAATTAATTTCCCATTTTCTAGAAATGCAAGGAAGGCATTTAAAAATTTGTCATCTATGGCTGTTGTCTCACCAGAGAAGCATCTCTGGAGCAGGTCAATGACAAACTCATGTTGAAATAAGTGAATTTTTTTTTCCCTTTTAGGACTTGAATTTTATGGATACATTAAACTGATAAATTTTATTAGACTTAAGGTAAGATGGTAGCTTAATTTACAATTTTGTTTAAAACCTAAAGAAATGCTGCAGTGATTATCAGTGCACCCATTTTTAAGAGAATATGAAGAACTGCTATATATAAGGAAGTGTTTTAAATTTTACACTCATCATGTTGGAATCCTGGACATTAGGAACTAGCACAACATATAGCACCAGGTAAATACATGGTGCTTACGTGCATACATAAGTACCATACTTATGTATGGTACCATACAATACATAGCATACTTAAGTATGGTTTTAATTGCATGTGAGAGATGGATCAATATTATGTGGCAAAGTAATTCAGTGTCAGATAAAGAATACAGTCTTCTATAAAATCAGAAATTTCTGATTTCTAGTGTGATTTTTAAGTGCTTTAGTTGCTCTTTTTGTAAACACTTAGTTCTGGTCAGTTGATATTTATATTGCCATTTCCCGCAAATCCAAACAATATAAAACTGCACTGAAACAATTAAGCAATCATTCAGTCAAGTTAATGAAATGGCAGGTTAACACAGATTCATTTTAAATAGCAATTTTGTGTTAATGTAGACATGCTTTCCTTTTTTGTTTAATTTTCTTTTCATAAGGGGATTGTGTGATTATGTGCAGTGAAAAAATAATGCAATTGATTTTATTTCCAGAATCCTACAGTTGAATATATGAACTCCATATACAACCCAGTGCCTTGGGAGAAAGAAGAGTATTTAAAGCCTGTGTTAGAAGATGACCTTTTACTTCAATTTGGTAAGCTGAACATATGGTATCTACTTTAAAGTAGGGTCATTTGTTATGGCAGAATAGTGGTTAAGTTTTATAGGAGATATGTTATCTCCTTGATTCTCGAAAGATCTTCTGGGTAGTTGGTTTCAGTAGGTAAGTTAAGTCACTTGAAAAGCGAGTCACGCTAGGAGTTACCAGGGAGGGCTATAAGCTTGGGATAAACATTGTGTACAAGATGTTTGGAAACATAGGAACATTTAAGAGAGTAGTTTTTCGTTGGTAGACTTAATTTTTAATGTAACTCAAATTGACAACTTTTAAATCTAAATTTAAAAATTTAAATCAGATGAAATATTTAATAGATTTAAGTAAATTGAGCAATATTTGCTGCTTTTACCTCATCATCAGATAATTGACTTTTCTTAAGATACCTGATTTACAGAGTTGTTGTTTTGGTGCAGAGCAGACCATGCAGATTCTCATGGGCTTACCCATGTACTCTAACTAAATCAGCCTGCTTTGTGGCAGGTTCACTCATTTATTGACCGTAGCTTGCTTTCTGAGTTATTTGCTCTGTGCTTTGGTTCATTCCTTATTGAACTGGAATCCTGTGAAAATTCACTTGGCTTCTTACTCATCCTTTATAGATCTAATTTATTGGAGTTTATGATTTATTATTATTATTTTTAAGTTTATACTTTCTTTCATGTTTGTGTGCCAGCTGGGTGACATAAAGGGTTTGCTGTCTTTAGATCAGCAAGACTGGTCTAAATAGACACATATCGTCACAGACAGTAGTTTGACAGTGTATATTTGAGCAGTTCTCTGAAAAGTGAGAACTGTGGGAAACCACTCATTTCCTTGAGAAGTACCATTAACAGGAGTTGAATGGCAGTGTGATGCCATAGAAAGAACCTTAATGCACAATTCAGGGATGGAGTGACCCTGGACAAAGCACTTACGCTTTCTGTATTTTTAAGTCTTCATCTGCAAAATGAGAACTGGGGCCAGATTTCCAGCTTTATTTCTAATTCTAAAATTTGGTGAGGCCTAGGTTGATTCTTCCTTGTTTTTAATAACCTCTCTTAAATTTTATTTTCTCCTCAGAAGTGACCAAAGTGATCTCTTTGATACATGACAAAATGCCCACTAGGTGGTCTTCATGACACCCTAAACTCAAATTGAACACTCACAGGTTAAAAGTAGTGTGTTAAATTCTGTGAAAACCTAATGAATGAGTCCTTTCTGTAGACAGCCCATAATCTAATAGTAGGTGTGTTTTGTTTTTGAGTGAGTGACCTGTATTGTATTAATAATATATGGTGGAATGTAGTAAGTTTCATGAGACATAGAAAATACAGGGCAGTTCAGAAGAGAAAGCAGTTACTCAGATCAACAGATGCTGAGTGCTGTGTGCTGATTACTATGGATGCAGACCAGTATTGAACTCTTTACTTTCCAAAGGTATATACACTTCTTTCAGCCTTAATTTTAATGTGTAAAAAGGAGATAATGATACCTGTCTTACAAAATTGTTGCAAAGATAATGCATAGTACCTGTCAGGGTAAGTGCTTAATGACCGAGAATTTGTTGTTACTAGTAAATAGATTCTAAGGAGTTAGATGAAGAAGTCATGACTGAGGTTTGGAACAGTTAAAAGGCCTAGGGAAGGAAGTGGACCTTGAACTGGGTATGCTCATTAGTGTACTGTCTGCATCTCTCAAAGGCTCTGTGGGCTTCCCTGGTGGGCCCTCGTCAGAACTCCATGCTTCCCCTGCAAGGGGCACAGGTTCAGTTCCTGGTTGGGAAACTAAGATCCTGCAGCCAAAACAAAAAAGCCTCATAAAGGATCTGTGCTCCTGGCCGTTGGTGGAGAGAGATGGAAGAGAAGGTCTTCATTCCCCTGCCTCTTGGCTTGGTGACCGACCTTTTCACCTCCACTGCCTTTCAGTAAATATTTATTGATCCTCTGCTTTGTATTTTGGCTTTTGAGGATATAAAGATGACTAAATTAAAAAAGATGACTAAGAAAATAGGCAATGAACATATAGTGTAAGAGGGGAGAAGTAACTATACAATGGAGAAACCTGGCAAACACTACCATAGCCAGGTAATCAAGGTTAGCATCATCAATAAGAAGTCATGTTGATAGTGTGAGCCCTTTGTATGATGTGATGAAAATAACACTTTACTTCAGTGGTCTTCCCTCCAGACCAGTAACTTCAGTATAACCATGAAAAGCCATCGGACAGACACAAAATGAGGGACATTGTACAGAGTGTCTGGCCAATACTCCTGAAAACTGTCCCATGTTGTTAAAAACAGGGAAAGCCTGAAAAACTGTCATAGCCAAGAAGGGTTTAAGCTAAACATGTGTAGTATTCTGGGTGAAATTTTGAAACAGAAAGGGGACATTAGGGAAAAACTAATGAAATCTGAGTGAATAAAATGGAGTAGTCAATTTTTTAAAGTATGGTATAGTATTTGAAACATATTCCACAAGGGGTTAATATCCTTTTCATATAAGACTTCTTAAAAATTAAGGGACAGAGGATCAAACAATTGATGGAACAATGGGGAAAGATACGTGGTTGGACTGTAGACCAAAAAAAGTTATAAAAATAACCCAACAGCAAGTTACCATTTCTCACTTCTTAGACTGGTAAAGATTTTTATAGCACCGTCTGTTGACCAGGCCGTGGAGAGATAGGCACTCACACACTGCTAGTAGAATCAGATTTGGCAGTACCTCACAAACCTGGACGTGAACTTTTAAACTGAACAGTTTCTCTCATAAGAATTGGTCTTGAAGATACACCTCCAACGCTCTGAAAATAGATAGAAAACATGGTTCTTCATTGCGGCATTGTAATTCCACAATGTTGAGAAGAGCCTACCTGTCCACAAATGGGAGAGTACTTGAACAAACTGTGGCACGTCCACAGCACGCAGTAGTTATCCTGTCTTAGTGTGAGTGGAGCTGGTACAGAATGCTGTCCAGGACAGCTGTCTTTTTTGTTGTTTTCATTTCTATTTTGAAATTTTTTGGTTGCTCTCTGTGGCATGTGGGATCCTAGTTCCCTGAACAGGGATCAAACCTGCACCCCCTGCATTGGAAGCACAGAGTCTTAATCATTGGACTGCTAGGGGAATCCCAAGACGTAATGTCAGATGACAAAGGCGAAGCTCAAAAGAGTATCTGTATGATGCTCTTCGTGTAGGAGAGATTTGAGAAAATGCTTATGTGTCTGGTCACTTTTGCGAATGAAATGCAGGAAAGATAAACTGGAAAGTGAGATTGGCTGCTTGGATTTGTGGGACAGAGATGGAAGCAGAGAGCAGAGGCTGTGGTGACAGGTGAGGGGTGACGCCGTCACTGGGTGGGTCTTTGTGCAGCTCTGACCTCAGGATCGTAGTCAGGTTTCATAGCCTTCACATCATTAAAGAAACCAGCAGTGATGAGGCTGAATGGGTATGAGGGTGCTGTTGGTGTGAGGTGGAATGCAAGCCCTACCAGATGGACTAAACCATAATACAAAGGAGTAATGTAACCCTACTGCAGAGAGAGGGGAGGAAAAGAACTCCATGAGACCTTGACTGGATGTTGTGCTGAGGCTACAGAGAAAAAGAACTGCATCAGTGCTATAATCCAGTAAGAAAAGGAATTTCTTGTATGGGGGTGCTCTGTGTGTTTGTGTGAATGTGTGTATATTCAGTTGCTCTGTCATGTCCAACTCTTTGTGACCCCATGGTCTGTAGTCTGTCAGGCTCCTCTGTCCATGGGATTTTCCAGGAAAGAATACTGGAATGGGTTGCAATTTCCTTCTCCAGGGGATCTTCCCAACCTAGGGATTGAACTCGTGTCTCCTTGCATTGGCAGGCAGATTCATTACCACTGGCCACATTGGGATGCCCTTCTTGGAGGGTATGGATTAACAATTCTGACACTGTTTTTACATATGCCAGAATGGAAGAAGTAAGTTAATATGGGTAAGAGCCAGGTTTTTCATTGTTGGAGAAGGAGGTTGAATTGATGGATGAAATGAATCTTGTGATGATAGATTAGAATCAGAAGACCAAATTCACAGTATTTCTTATATAGACAGACAGATACAGAAATACAGGTGTGTGTGCATATAGACAGAGAAGTATAGATGTGTGTGGGTTAGTATAATACATATTTATATGTTATAATCTAGCTCTGCTGAAGGGCCTAGAAAAATGTCAGTATGAGCATCCCTCGTGTCCAGACCTTGATTTCCAATCCTTTATTAATATAAGGTGCCAAGGGTCCTGAGAGAGGTGATTGATTCCATGATAAGGCAGGGAAAATACAAGATAAACCTGGGACATCTTGTTCCAGAAAGTAAGGAAGTACTTAAGAAAAAGTGAAAAGAGGAGACTTACCTAAAGAACACAGGAAACCAACGTGAAGGAGCTCCTAATGGACAAAACTGGAAGAATTTGATTGACACAGAAAATGACAGTGTTGAGTTTTAACCCTTAGGATAATATAAATGTCCATGAATTCATACTGACATGAATAATCAAATAAATGGGGAAGAATTAGGTCCACTTTAGCATAGAATTTCTATTAATAAATTTTGGAGAAGAGAGACAGAAAATCAGCATTAGGCAAGGACTGCAGTAGTAACTTGCCGAGAAGAGCAACCCATGGATGCTGAGATTAGTAGTGAAAACTTAGGTGGGTGTGATAGGATTTGCATAGTTCACAGTATCTCCCCCAAGAAATCTGTTACAAAGGAGATGTTAACTTTTGTGGAAAAACCAAGCAGACCCCACCACATCTGAGTGATCAAGATTAACATCACCAGTAATAAGCATATTGACATCATGAGCCCCTTTGTGTAATACTCTGAGGAGACAGCGTTGTTTCTCTGTTAGCAGATTCATTACCACTGGCCACATTGGGATGCCCTTCTTGGAGGGTATGGATTAACAATTCTGACACTGTTTTTACATATGCCAGAATGGAAGAAGTAAGTTAATATGGATAAGAGCCAGGTTTTTCATTGTTGGAGAAGGAGGTTGAATTGACGGATGAAATGAATCTTGTGATGATAGATTAGAATCAGAAGACCAAATTCACAGTATTTCTTATATAGACAGACAGATACAGAAATACAGGTATGTGTGCATATAGACAGAGAACTATAGATGTGTGTGGGTTAGTATAATACATATTTATATGTTATAATCTAGCTCTGCTGAAGGGCCTAGAAAAATGTCAGTATGAGCATCCCTCGTGTCCAGACCTTGATTTCCAATCCTTTATTAATATAAGGTGCCAAGGGTCCTGAGAGAGGTGATTGATTCCATGATAAGGCAGGGAAAATACAAGATAAACCTGGGACATCTTGTTCCAGAAAGTAAGGAAGTACTTAAGAAAAAGTGAAAAGAGGAGACTTACCTAAAGAACACAGGAAACCAACCTGAAGGAGCTCCTAATGGACAAAACTGGAAGAATTTGATTGACACAGAAAATGACAGGGTTGAGTTTTAACCCTTAGGATAATATAAATGTCCATGAATTCATACTGACATGAAAAATCAAATAAATGGGGAAGAATTAGGTCCACTTTAGCATAGAATTTCTATTAATAAATTTTGGAGAAGAGAGACAGAAAATCAGCATTAGGCAAGGACTGCAGTAGTAACTTGCCGAGAAGAGCAACCCATGGATGCTGAGATTAGTAGTGAAAACTTAGGTGGGTGTGATAGGATTTGCATAGTTCACAGTATCTCCCCCAAGAAATCTGTTACAAAGGAGATGTTAACTTTTGTGGAAAAACCAAGCAGACCCCACCACATCTGAGTGATCAAGATTAACATCACCAGTAATAAGCATATTGACATCATGAGCCCCTTTGTGTAATACTCTGAGGAGACAGCATTGTTTCTCTGTTGTCCTTGCCAGAAGTGTATAACCTCATTCCAATAATGAAAAAATCATCAGACAGCCCCAGGTTGAGGGCCATTCTACAGAATTACCAATGAGTATTCTTCACAAGTGTCAAGATACAGTTATTGGGCACATTTTTGTATAAATGGGTCACAGTGCTAGTATTTTTCTTCAGATCTTTTATGTCTTTTTGGAGTTTTAAAAATCTGCCACTATCAATTGTTGATTAAGGTGTATTTGAATCCCTGACTGTGATTAGAGGATTTTCTGCTTTTACCATTAATTCTGTCAGCTTTTGCTTCATGTATTTTGAAACTCTCTTGTGAGATTTATTCTCATTTATAATTGTTAGGTCTTTCTGATAAACTGACTATCTTTTGTGGTAGTTTCCAGCTGCCAGGATGGAGTGTCCAGGGGATTTGAACTTCCTGAGACAGAATGTAGATGTGGCACTTCTTCCTGAGTGTGGTTTAGGACTTTGAATTAGACTGTTTTGATATACTATAGTTATGAATGTTAATGTTTACTGAATCCTTTCTTATTTTCAGAGCTATACACTTAACCTTTAATTTGTAATTATCTGTGTGCAACTGGCCTACTGTATCCAGGAGTTCTGCCTCTTTGGATTCAACCAACTTTGGATCAAAAATATTCAGGAAAAAAAATTCCAGAAAAAAAAAAATTTGAATTTGCTGCCCCGTGGCAACTACTTACATTGTATTTACAACTATTTGTACAGCATTTATATTGTACTAGTTACTATAAGGAATCTAGAGATGATTTAAAATGCTGAGTGTAAATTGCCATTTTATACAGGGACTTGAGCATCTGTGGGTTTTGGTATCTGAGGGAGATCCTGAAACAGAGCCCCTGCAGATACCAAGGGACAACTGTATTATTAATAAAGTTTTTATTCTGACTAACTTACTGCAGCAGAAAGCAAAACAGAGAAACTAGCTGAAAAAAGCCGATTTCTTTGTTCAGTTCTTTAACAAGGTGGTTTGCAAACAGTTCAAAGAATTTTGAAGACAGGATACACAATGCGAGTTGTAGTAGGAAGCAGAGAAATGGTACCACCATCCTTTAACAGTTTGGCAGTATTTTGTTGCTGTTGTTAATTTTGGGTGAATTAAATAGTAGATGAATCTATAGTTTTTTAAAGCAAAGAGTCAGTGTTCTGCTAGACTGATTATCCTGTACTGCTTTTGTAACAAGTTCAATTTAGGGGTTAGTCTATATAATATTATTGTGAAAAACTTAGTATTTTGTACCAATTCTAAAGAATTGTGGCGAGTAAAGACTGAATGAGGGGGGGAAAGTTGCAAGTAAAGACTGAATGGAGGGGGGAAAGTCCTGCTTCCCTCAGTGCTGCTCTGAGGAGACGGTATAATACCTGCATTGTTTTTATTGCTTTAGGTTGATGTGAAAGTTAATTAGACTGGTCAATGGACATTGCAGTTTTGTACAACTCACTAGCTCCATATATTAATTTCTGTTTGCAGAATTACTGATTTACATACATTAACTTCTGCAGCAGAAGTTACTAATTTACATATAGTGAAATTAAATTTAAATGTTTTTAATAATATTAGGAATTAGGATATTTAACAATATCAGCACTGAGACAGTGCATAGATTGCATACCCCCTTACCCAAGATGAAAAACTTAGTGAATGTACAGAATTCCTTACCTCCATGTTGTCCTTAAGAAATATCCAGATGTAATACTTGTTTTTCTACAGGTAAAGACCCAGAGACTATAGGTGGCCCTCTGTGATGGCAGGAACATGGGCTAGAAAGGCAGGCAAGAGTTTGAATCAAAGTTCCCTCATTAAACAACTATGTGACTTTGGGCCAGTCAATTTCTCTGAAATTTATTTTTCCCATGTTTTAAAACAGGGATAAATGTTTATATTGTAGGTTTGTTTTGAAGATGAAATGAGATGTAATACATGAATTTGAAAGATACCCGATCAATAAATACTAGCATTTTTTTCCCCTTCTACTTTTTTGCTTTGTCCTGGGTTTGATTCAGTGCAATTACTGTTTGTGTGTTCAGTTTAGCCAACTAGTGAAAAACTTAGACTAACAGCATGTTCTTTATAAACCCAAAACAATTTGGATATTAAATAGTTAGTTAAATGTACTTGTACTAATTATTCTCAGTTGGCTGCGTAATAGGCACTTAGTATATGTTTACTTGTAACACATGTGTACATGCTTAGTTGTTACAAGACAGCCTGAAAATGATGTCCGTTTACTTTTTAGACGTAGAAGATCTTTATGAGCCGGTGTCAGCCCCGTTCTCCTATCCCAATGGGCTCAGTGAAAATGCATCTCTGGTTGAAAAATTGAAGCACATGGAAGCCAGGGCACTATCTGCTGAAGCTGCATTGGCTGGAGCACGTGAGGACCTGCAAAAAATGAAGTAATTTATCAATCTTACAGAAAATTAATGGTTTAGATCCCCCAAATAATAGAGTTCAAGGTGAAATACAGTAAAATATTTCATGCACTAGAAAGCACAGTAGATATTTAATTTTAGTAATATTGAGGATATGCAGTATTTTTGTATATTGTGGCTACAACTGATTAACATAAAATTCTATTCTCATATACTTCTAAATAATTACTTTTATATTAATAGTAATTGTTCTCAGGAGTGTTTTCCTCTTGAGTGCATTTGTTACTTAATACTACCTTCTTTTAAATTACCTTCTTTCTAATAGCTTTCTCCACTTGCCTTTTCTTCTCCTAGGCTTTTTAAAGTATAGGGATTAATACATTTTAGATTTTGGGAAATACACAGTTGAAATATTTGTTTTTAAAGAATCAACTGATAATTATGGTGAAGTATGTAATCAGAAAACTAGCTCCATAAAATGGTTTTCTACAGTGCGTAAATTAGCATTTTGCTGGCTTAGTACTTGTCAGAATTTTACATGTATACAGATCACCTGGGTAACACAACAGACTGCAGATTCTGATTCAGGAGGCCTTGAATAGATAAGAGTCTGAGACTCTGGAGGTATATATACCTCCAGCTTAACCTGTTAGATTTGTAAGTTGGTTGCTACTGCCTGAGGATCCATTTGATGGTTTGCCAGAATGTCCAGCAGGAAAAATAGTCAAGCGGATTGTAGTTTCCCTTCCCTTTTTCTGATATTTTATGCTGAATAATCTAGTAACCAACAACTCTCTTATCTGCCTCTTTACACTTCTTTCCCATATATACCTTATAGGTTCCTGATGTGTTGTGGTCAGAGGGGGAACTGAGTTTTAGAGCCTGAGTGGATGGTGGTGGTGTGTGTAAATAATTTCCAGTTTATATCTGCTTTCTGCCCACATAACCCTTCCATGATATAATAAGATTTTGGAACAGTAGAAATAATAAAGTGAATAGAGTCATAGTATGCTTATTTTGTTCGGTTGAAAGGTATCAACAGCCATAATTTGCAGTTGGCTATGCTTTTGGTTTTGCAGAAGGAATGCTTCCAACTGGGTTTGAATATGCCCGTTGCTTAAAATCCAGCAGGGGGAGCTTTTCGTTGCTTAAGATAGAGTGATTTAGAGGCTCATCACACTCCACACTCCCCTTCTACCTCTCCCTCAGCCTCTAGCCTTTCCTTTTTTCATGGTCCAGTAAACTTGTCTCAAGGGTGTATTTCAAATTGATTACAGACAATTTGCTCAGGATTTTGTGATGAACGCAGATGTCAGAGCCTGCCCATCATCTACCACTGCCATTGCAGACCTCCCGGAGGATGAGGATGGTGTTTATTTCAGCTCCTACGGGCATTATGGGATACACGAAGAAATGCTCAAGGTTAGAAAGCACAGATGTGCCGACTCCATGCTGAAGGAAAGATAGAGTGAAACTCGTTCTTAACACACATGCTGTGGTAGATTGCCTTTTTCTTTTTTTTTTTGAGAACTGCTTTTTAGATCTTTTTGGTACTTGATAGCTCATCTTACGTTGAAAGGATTATAGAAGCATCAGAATTATTATAAATTCTACTTAAGAGCATTATTAATCTTTATGAGATTACTTTTGCTTAAAATAGAAAAATGGGAAAAATTCCTAATGATTTTAGGCTTCTCAAGAGCAACTTTTAAATAGGAAGAAATAAATTATATGTTTGCCTTTTAATGTGTGAAGGAGAAATTAGTGTTTTAATTAGCAGTACTGTCATTAGTTTGGACAAAGAATAATTCTTTGGTGCAAAGTTAGTTGTAGATAATTCTCACAGTTATAGTATAACTTTTTTACATTTGAAATCAATGATAGAATTTCCTAAATCAGATCAGATACTTGAATTTGGTTGGTTTTAATTTTTATAATGGTAATGTTTATATAAACTATAAGTAGATTTCTAGCTGTACCTGGTATAATAGATACATTTTATCATCTATTGTAGATTATAAAATAGCAAAGTGTAATTTTTTAATTTAGTAAAAGTGAAAATATCTAACAAATGTTGGAGTTTAAAAATTATTGAAAAATTAGATGTTTATCTCTGAATTTTAGATGTCACTACCTTTTTTTTTCTTTCTTAAAACCAACAAAAGAAAAATCCCCTTTGAATCCTTCCTCAGAAGGTTGATTTATTTTACGGAAGCCTGAAGACTGTGTTCCTTGAAACATACCTATTTAAAATAACCAGGGGTATTTAATAACATGTATATATTTTGTTGAGTCAGTTTTTGCAGGATCGCAGAGTGGAAGGTTGCTGATTAATAGTAATTGTAATTATTAGGAGTCTTTTAAAGCAATGTCATGTCATTTCTTCACTAATGACTTGTCATGGTTGGTTGTGCTTTTTGTTGTTACTTGGGCAGTTGCATAGAATTGCAAATAAGTTATAAGTAATAAATTATTCTTAAGTCCAGGGTGAATTTATTTAAAAGAAATGGATATACACCGTTTTCCTCGTTAAAATTAATTTTACTGTGTCTAGAATATTTTCTTTAAAGGAGTTTTTCTTAGCCCATGTTTTTCATTTTAAATCACCCCATCGGTTTCAATGCCATGAGCCTTTAGTACTTTTGATAGGGAAATAGTACTGGGTTTTTTAGACTGATAAGTTACCCAGACTCCTAGAAGGTGGTACCTCTGAGTGCTCTCGGTTCCGTCATCTGGGAATCCAGTTTGGATTTATTTCCAGATCTCTCTCCTGGACCCTTATAGCTATATTTCAGTAACTAGAGGATCTTCATACCTGTTGGAGTATCTTTAAGTCCTTTTGATGTACATTAAGAAGTTCCAGCTGAAAGTTACCAGTGCTATCTTTTCGCTTTTAGATCTGGAATCACTTAAGAATTCTTATTAATATAATTTGCCATGTCTTAGCTGATATACAGTGTAACCACCTCTCCTTGGATCATAGGAAATACGGATATAGTTTATTCAGAAAGACTATTTGTTCATTTTATATTTTGCTAAGTTACATACTGTGGACGGATATGAAATGTGCCTTACGTCACGCAATATTTCTTCTGTTTCCTATCAAAAAAACAATTTTTAGCACATATAATTTGTTCGAGGTTGTGCTACTACCAGAGTCTCACATCTTTACAAATCATTTAAAATTGAGAAGCCATACATACAGGACTTATTTTTATGCTTAGAATTGGCCTTGCTTTTATAAAAATATTATTTGGATTTTTTGTTGCTTAGTCTCAGATACAGTATTTTAGTGACACTATTTTGGATATGCCTTACTTAGTGATTATAAGCAAGGATAGTTTGTAATCTTATTTTCCAGAATCAAGATGAGGGCAACTTGGAATTCGAGAGATATAATTGATAGTAGAATAGATGGCATGAACTTTCAAAATCCTTCGCCACTTTATCTTTCTGAAAGGAATTGTTGCTAATGTTTTAAATCTGACATGTATCACACATTTTTTTTTTTTTTTCCCCCCAAGAAAAACATTGTTTATTCTGGTGAACATTTATCCAGATTATTAGTACCATTAAATAATTTTTTTTTACTTCATTTTCCTCATTGTATTTGTAGCTGACTCAGGCATTCTGTCCACCTTCATGAGCCTGTATTTTAAAACATGCTGTTACTTGTATCAGTAAAATTTATAGTATATTATTTTTCTGTTGTATTTAGTCTCATACTTAAATTTTTAAAATATTTGTAGGAATAATTCCATGACACTATGGGGTATGTACTGGTCTTAAAAGATTTTTTTGCTGCTTAATATTGAGAAGCAAAAGAACCTCTCATTCTTTTGTGTTTCTTAGTTTTAACAGGTGAGTGCAAAAGATTATTTTATTTTTATTACCTTATTTTATATTGAACAGTTTTAGTTTTTTGTTAGAATAAATTTTTAGAAATGGTTCGAGGGCTTGTCTTTAATTTGTTTGGATTTTCACATTTAGTGGATTTTCCTCTAAAAAATTCATTTATTAAATCAAACCTCTGCTATGTCCAAAGCACTGTGTTTAGTATACTTTGAATTTCATTGCGCCAGGGTGAGCATATGAGTGGAAGCAGATGGATGTGTAGGAAGAGCCGGATGAAATTTTATAGTTGAGCTGAACAGCAATGCATGGACTTAGGACAGGAGCTGGGGTGCTAGTGGTTAAGTTAGAGCCGTGTGCTTGGCGAGAGCTTTCTGAATGACTGCCTTCTTGACTGATGTTCACCTGTTGTGGGTTTTGTTGTGTCAGCAAAAATCACTGGTTATAGTGTAAGAAGAGTATAAAAATAGTGAGAATGTATGAAATGGTACTTTATAGATTTTTACTTAATAGTATGTTTAAATTCATTTGACTATTAGATTCTCATAATAATTCTTAAAATACATAAATTTAATAAACCTGATTTAAAATTTTGTTTGTAAAGCAGTTAGAACTAATTCCATCAGAAAACATGGAATTAATTATGGAATCCCCTCTTTTTAGATCCACTAATTAAGTAAAACAACTTTTAATTTACGACTTCCTTTGTATATATGTATCTTTTTTTTTTTTAATTCAAATATTGGCATGAACATGGTTTTGTCAGGGATGTGAATGGTATAAATGTTGTAGTGTTTGGTGTTAACTACTTTTTACCAAGTGTGAAGTTTAAAATTCCCGGTTTGAGATATTTTTATCAGACTTGTTTTATTCCCTTAGCAACTGTGCCCTTACTGCTTAATTTGCTGTCAGTATATGTCTCAGCTGAGGTGATTTAAAAGGGAACTGGCACTGTTCAGGAATCAGCATAAATGTTAACGTTCATTGCCTGCTTGGGGCATGGGTCATGTGAGATTGTGGAGTGGCGAAGTCTCATAATGTGGGCTGTGGGGCTGAAATGATTTACTTTTAGGCTTATAGGCTTTTAAGCATCATTTCCTGCTACAGAAAGTTCTAGAAACAAAACAGGATTATAAATCATATAGATGCTGATCGATGACTTTCTTAGAAAACTGTACTCAGTTTAGCTTCATTTTTCATTATGTAACTGTAATTTTCGCATCTGTCTTTTGTCTTTTTCCTCTCATTTTAACATAGTTCTACTACAGGGAATCCGGCCCATTAGTATTATCACTTGAAGTCTTATAGTGATGGTGCATGTCAAGACAAAAATATTTACATTTTTAAGAACTTAGGTCTTATTTTACTTTCAGTGATGTTATTAAATATTTTCTTTGTGTGTTGTTGCTGTTATTATTTTCTTTTTGAAAAAATATTTGGCTATGCTGGGTGTTAGTTTCAGCTCACGGGATCTTTAGCTGTGGCTTGTGGGATCTAGTTCCCCCACCAGGGATCGAATCTGAGCCCCCTGCATTGAGAGCTTGGCGTCTTAGCCACTTGACCAGCAGGGAAGTCGCTATTATTTTCTTCTAGCAAAAAAAGATTAAATGTGGGTTTCCAGGCAAAAAGTAGCTATAGAAACGTATGTGATAATTAGCAGATATCTTCCTTAAAAAATTTTATTTGTAAGTCTAATGTAATGTTTTCCTTTCTCTGCCCTAGGACAAAGTACGAACAGAAAGTTACCGAGATTTTATATACCAGAACCCACATATCTTCAAAGACAAGGTGGGTAGCATAGGCTACAGAATGACATGTTTCATGTGGATCTTGGGTAGCAGAAATTCTCTTAGGTCATTGTGACAGCAGTTGATTTCATGTGTGTGCTGTGTTTAGTCGCTCAGTCGTGTCCCACTCTTTGCGGCCCCATGGACTGTAGCCCGCCAGGTTGCTCTGTCCATAGGGATTCTCCAGGCAGGAATACTGGAGTGATTTGCCATGCCCTCCAGGGGGGGTCTTCCCAACCCTGGGATCAAACCCTGATCTCATGCATTGCAGGTGGATTCTTTACCGTTTGAGCCACCAGGAAAGCCCAAGAAGACTGGAGTAGGTAGCCTATCCCTTCTCAAAGAGATCTTCCTGTCCCAGGATTCGAACCGGGGTCTCCTGCCTTGCAGGTGTATTCTTTACCATCTGAGCTACCAGGGAAGCCCAATTTCATGTATACTGGCTTTATTTCATGGAGGACTTTTGTGATGCTGATCTGTGGTGCAGAACACTGATAAACAGAAATGCTGATTGGTGTCATTCAGTACACTTTTTTTTTAATTGAAATTCATTAATTATAGTGATTTAACTTAAACTTTGCTCAGTCATGTAAGATTTGCTTAAACCATGTTTTTGATTTACTGTGATTCTTACAAATTTCAAATGTACAAGATAAACCCCATATCAAAGCATTTAATTATTTTAGTTCACATTGATTAGTTAAAACTTAATTTAAAAAGTAAATTTGGTAAGTAGGGTCAAATATTTTAAGGTAGAATTTATTTTATGTGCTTTTTTTTCCCAGACCATTTGATGAGATACTTTATATTTTACAATTAGTGTTTATACTGCCTCTGGTTATTTCAAAGATGCTGTTTCATAGTGTGTATGAGTATGTGTGTGAAATTTGTGTTAAATATTTTTTCCTCCCTTGTGAATTTTTCCATTTTTTCTTCACTTTCTCTTTCCCTCCTTCTCTACATTGGCATGTTACCTAAGAGTTCAGGTTTTCTATTTGTTCCACCTTACTGGAAGTTAATCCAGAATTTAGTCAGGTATATGATTCTCTCTGCTACTCACATACCTTTGCTTGGAAATTTTCCCCCTCTCTTTCTACTTCAGGGGCTTCCTGATGGTAAAGTATCTGCCTGCAGTGAGGGAGACCTGGGTTCAATCCCTGGGTCGGGAACATCCCCTGAAGAAGGGCATGGCAACCCATTCCAGCATTCTTGCCTAGAGAACACTATGGACAGAGGAGTCTGGTGGGCTATAGTCCATGGGATTGCAAAGAGTCAGACACAACTGAGTGACTAACATACACACACACTTTCTACTTCATGAGTATGTATATTGGTAACATCAGGTTTTCATAGTTCCCCTCAATTTTAAGATACTTTTCTAAGGTTATTTCATGGACCTTACATAATATTGCAGTAGTGACCCACAACCTTAATATATTGAAAAGACTGTTTTCCTGAGTCTTTGTTGCTTGGAATAACATATATATAGAGACTGGCTTTTCGTTTTCCATACCTATTTCCTAAGAGCAGTGTTTAACTTGTGACTTAGCTGAGTTGGAGATGTGAAATTTATATGGTTCTGATATCTTGCGGCCAACACATTACCTATAAGGTAATGATGGCGTCTGTTTCTTTGTTTTGCTAATTCCCCAACAGGCAGATTATTTCATTTTTAAAAATATTAGTTTTTATCAGTTCTTTGTTGCCTTTTTTATTTGCTTTTTATTTATTATTGTAGCGAAGACAAATCATTTTTTTAGTAGTTTTTATATTTGCACCTAAAATGCTAGAATAGTTTATTTAATATCTAAAAAAACACTTTTCAGTGAAGCAAATAATGTTACTATTAAAATTTTGCTTTATACTTACAGTGAGATTATGCCTAGGTTTTTATTTTATTTTTTCCTTAATATGTTGTATACAATTTAAACATATGCTAGTCTGGGAATCACTCGTTCTGCCTGGCTACTCGGGATCCAGCCACATAATAATTTTAGACAGTGGTGGGTCTCTGGGCCTCATCTATAAAATGATTTAAAAAAATTTTTTCTGGTTCTAAAATTTTAGGACTTCTGTTTTTATAAAAACAGTATCTTTGAGCTATCTTGTAAGATATTTTAATACTTTTTGATCTGAATGCTGTAAATACTTTTTGATACCAATTTGGTGAGAATTTTTTAAGTAAAAATAGTTTCTTTTTCAGTATGCTCTGAATATAGACTTTTGTATTACATAAGAAAATAGTGAAAAGACACAAGCATTAGTAATCATAAGATTGATTAGGAAATTAAGTAATTATGAATATTTCTATGTATATGAAACCAATCAATGACCTGTACACAGTCATTATCTGCTTTTAATTTTTTATTTGTAACTGTTATAGAAATACCATATACATTTTTGGACAAAATACATGACCATGGAAAACGTGTAAAGTTTGTTTTGTCTTATACTTACTGCTCTTGCTGAAGCGATTAAATCTGCCACAGTTAGGAGAGGGATTATTAATAAATTGAAAGTGTTTTCCTTGGTATTTTGCCTGACATGCTTTCTTTTATCAGTGAGTGGCTAAGTTTGCTCAGCATTTATGGTTTCTCAAGAGTATAATGTATAATATGTATCAATTTCTAACTCTTTAAAGCATATACAGGATATAATTCTCTGTAATTAACAATAGTAATCTAGAGATTTTATGTGACTTGGGATACTCTTTGTATTATACTATGGCTGCAGATGTAGAAAATATATTTAAATAGTGTTTGATAATTTATAAAATATTTTGAAACATGTCTCTTTGCTGTATAATATATCTGTAACTAGGGATGGTAGGTATTTATCTCCATTTAATACATGAGGAATTTGAAACCAATAGGTTAAAGGCTTGTCCTAAAAATAGGCAACTAAAAAGATAGAACTTGAAGGTTTTAGTCCTAGTCTAGTGCCCTTAACACTGTGCCACTACACTTTAAGGAGAAAATAATTAGGGTGAGATTCATTAGTGACATTTTAATTCTCATTATTTTTCATGTATAGGTCCTATGTGGCATGACAGAACGTGTTCATGAAATTATTTAAATATAGTTATTTTTAGAAATGTATGGAATAACATGTCTTCCTAAGTTTTACACCATTGTTTTTGTTTTCATTTTTCTTCATTAGGTAGACAAATTTCATACCACAGCTCTAGCTTCTGTATCATATATCGTTTAGGGCATGGTAGAGATTTATTTTTCACAAAAGGGATTAAAATTAAAATTTCTTTTCCTCTCCTTCCATCCTTCCTGCTTCCTTTCCTTCATTCCTTTCTTAATATTGTTTTAATTCACAAAGCTCCTGTGGAGGCCATATGGTTTCTCAGATTTAATTTAACTTTGGGTGGCATAATCTTGTTATCACTCACTCATAATTAATTTCTATTTGTAGTTCATTGAAGAAATTCACAGTTTGGTGCCTTTTTTATGCTTTTGATTATTATCTACAGTTAAAATGTTTTATATACATTCCTTCATCATTTTATAAAATAACATTAGTGTATTCTGTTATCATTCTCCCTCTTTCTTGGTTCTGTCAAGTTTTAGTTTATTTGCCCAAATACCTAAATCTGAGCTAGATGTAATAATTAGTAGGCAACTAAAAATATAATTTAAGTATGCACTTTTAAAAAAGCAGTTTGACCTATGTTTGAGTTCCATCTTTACAGATTACCCGCTGTATGATCCTGAATCTGCTACTTTCTTTCTCTAAAGCTCTCTTTCCTTCAGAAAGAATTAAGTAAGATTTTATATATATGTGCCTATGTATATAAACGATTTGTGTGTGTAGTTTTACAAGAGAATACATACTCTAACTGGAGTACATTATATGTATCCTGCTGTACTTAGTTGTCACTTAGCAGGTTCTCTAAGATAATCCCTTATTAATGTTATTTTAATGGCTCAAAAATTCAGTGTAAATTGTCCATAAGTTCTAACTTTTTATATTAGAAATAATGCATGTAAAAATATAAAATATTAAAAATCTTTTTATAAATGTAGGACTAGAATAATAAGATAAATTCTAGTAGAGGACTCTCTGGATCAGAAAGGTTCTACCCTGGATGGAGTTAGTCCTGCCAGCTTGTCTTTCCAGAAACAGTGCATGAGTGTTGATATTCAATATTTCCAAACACCATTGCCAAAGCACTGTGCTGTCAAACTTGGTAAATTCTACACTGATCTTTTATTTTTAATTTTGAAATATTTCAATGAAAGTTTCTGGAAAGTCATCGCTTACTGTGTATATATTTTTACATTTTATTATCATTTTATGCCATGTAATATTTCAAGTTGATATAAGCATACTATAAATATATATGCTCTGTATTATAGTATTTACTTGATGATGTGGTTAGTATATTTTATTTGTAACTTTACAAAATGGTTTTGCAGTGGTATTTTATAGATTTCGTCTTACAGTTTTGAACTTTCTTAATGTGTGAAGTGGTTATGTTAAAATGTGCTGACTCACCCAAACAGGGAACATTACGGTCAGGGACACTCGCATTCTCCCTTAGCGGCCTCAGCCTTCTAAGATGGGCAGAGAGGATAGGGGACAGGGTAACAGCCTTTTGACAACCTTATTTCTTCAATAGAAATTAAGACTATTTAGATTCTCTCCTCTGGAGTCAGTTCTGGTATATTTTAAAAGTGTAATGGAACAGGCTTCCCTTATACTAGTAAACAGTGCAGAAGATAAAATGCATAGGAACAGACTTTAACTAGTGTGCAGGACTTACATGAAAAAGATTTTTTAAAAATCCCAAACTCCTGAAGAACATAAAAGATGATTAAAACAAATTGAAATTCTTACCATGTTCCTGAATAGAAAACAAAATGAAATTGTCTGTGTTCTGTAAGTTTATATTTTAGTTCAGTCCCCATAAAAATACTAAGACTTAAAAAAAAAGAGACAAGCTGATTCTCTTATGCTTATGGAAAAATGAATATATTACCTAGTGAAAAAGTAGTTGCTGAACAATGGACTAGATTCTTTTTTAAAAAAACTTTATTTTATATTGGAGTATAGCCAGTTATCCACTGGATCATCAAAAAAGCAAGAGAGTTCCAGAAAAACATCTATTTCTGCTTTACTGACTATGCCAAAGCCTTTGACTGTGTGGATCATGGTAAACTGTGGAAAATTCTGAAAGAGATGGGCATACCAGACCTCCTGACCTGCCTCTTGAGAAACCTATATGCAGGTCAGGAAGCANTTGTTCATTGGAAGGACTGATGCTAAAGCTGAAACTCCAATACTTCGGCTACCTCATGTGAAGAGTTGACTCATTGGAAAAGACCCTGATGCTGGTAGGGATTGGGGGCAGGAGGAGAAGGGGACAACAGAAGATGAGATGGCTGGATGGCATCACCGACTCGATGGACATGAGTTTGAGTAAACTCCACGAGTTGCTGATGGACAGGGAGGCTTGGCGTGCTGCAATTCATGGGGTCGCAAAGAGTCAGATACGACTGAGCAACTGAATTAACAGCCAATTAACAGTTATGATAGTTTCAGGTAGACAGCAAAGGGACTCAGCCATACATATACATATACCCGTTCTCCCCCAAACTCCTCTCCCGTCCAGGCTGTCTCACTGAGCAGAGTTCCGTGTGCTATACAGTCAGTCCTTGGTGGTTTCCATTTTAAATAAAGCAGTGTGTACATGTCCATCCCAAACTTCCTATCTATCTCTTCCCCCAATTCGCCCTGCTCTGGCAGCCGTAATTTTGTTCTTTAAGCGTGTGAATCTGTTTCTGTTTTGTAAATAAGTTCATTTACAAAGATTCACTTACATAGATTTGCATAGATTCATTTACATAGATTGAACAATGCTCAGTTGCTCAGCGTGTCTGACTCTTTGCAGTCCCATGGACTACAGCCCACCAGGCTCCTCTGTCTATGGGATTTCCCAGGCAAGAATACTGGAGTGGGTTGCCAGTTCCTCCTCCAGGAGATCTTCCCAACCCAGGGATAGAACCTGCCTCCCCTGCATTGCTGGCAGATTCTTTACTGTTGAGCCACTGGGGAAGCCCCATAGATTGAACAATACAATAGATAAATTCTAGTTTTGTTTTTCTTAACAGTGGCTTTCTAGCTGGTGCAGTGGTAAACAATCTGCCTGCCAAGCAGGAGACGTCTCACAGGTTTGATCCCTGGGTCGGAAAGATCCCCTGGAGGAGAAAATGGCAACCCATTCCAATATTCTTGCTAGAAAAAGTGCTTCATGGACCTGTCTAAAATTCGAAAAGAGTGTGTGTGTCCTCTCCCCTTGCCCTAAGCTCTGCTCTGTGCTTGAGTTTTCTTTATTGCACTACTATTCTCTGTTATGCTCTATTCTTTATTCTTAGTTGTTTCTGAGTATTTTGCTTAATGTGTTTCCTTGGTAATTTTTTTTTTTTTTTACTGTGAACCATGCAGATTTCATTATTACTATTCTGGGAAGAACCATATGAAATTCTTGATTAGAAATAATTGTTAGATTCCAATCCCCAATAACATAAATTTCATTCTTCTTACTGTTTCTACCATTGATCATGAATATCTTTTTGAAAACTTAAATTCTCAAGTTACTGAATTCTAAAAGCCTATTTTTTATTGTACCTCTAATTAAAATGAGTTAAATATTAAACTTTGGAAATGGAGTGGGTATGACAATATTTTGTATCCATGATTCGTTTATAACCTTTTCTAAATTGTATTGGATCAGACTATCCTGCTTAGGTTAATTTCTGGTACTCAAACTTGAGAAAGCTTATTTTTGTTAAAATTTAGAATTACTGAACCTAAATTAGAGCATACATACAATAAGGAAATAAAAGGCAGACTACTTCCCTAGTAAGTCTGTGGGAATTTCTCATTTCATATAAAACATTTCTTAAATTTACATTGTTGCCTATGATTGCAATAAACTGTGGCCAAAAACAGTTACGAATTTAAAATAATGTAATTATATGTTCAGTTTACCCAAATAGAAATTATTATCATGATTGACTGGTAAAGTTTAAATTTTGTTATCTATTCCTAGCCAGAAACATCATCATATATGAATAGGATTTAAAATATTAGACCTTCTCAATAACATCTATTCTTTTTCTTTTATTATTATACCAGGTAGTTTTGGATGTTGGTTGTGGAACTGGAATTCTCTCTCTGTTTGCTGCTAAAGCAGGGGCAAAGAAGGTTCTTGGAGTTGATCAGTCTGAAATACTTTACCAGGCAATGGATATCGTAAGGTAGATGCATTTTAAGGCTTGAGTTAAGATTGTTTTTAAATTTGATGATCAGTAGATTTTCTTGTCTTTAATAGCTGTCCGGTGCAGACCTAAGGACCTTATCTTTCAATAAAATTTCATTCTAGCACAATAAAATTTTAAGTTGAATTGACCTAAATGGTAAACAATCTGCCTGCCAAGCAGGAGACGTCTCACAGGTTTGATCCCTGGGTCGGAAAGATCCCCTGGAGGAGAAAATGGCAACCCATTCCAATATTCTTGCTAGAAAAAGTGCTTCATAGACCTGTCTAAAATTCGAAAAGAGTGTGTGTGTCCTCTCCCCTTGCCCTAAGCTCTGCTCTGTGCTTGAGTTTTCTTTATTGCACTACTATTCTCTGTTATGCTCTATTCTTTATTCTTAGTTGTTTCTGAGTATTTTGCTTAATGTGTTTCCTTGGTAATTTTTTTTTTTTTTTACTGTGAACCATGCAGATTTCATTATTACTATTCTGGGAAGAACCATATGAAATTCTTGATTAGAAATAATTGTTACATTCCAATCCCCAATAACATAAATTTCATTCTTCTTACTGTTTCTACCATTGATCATGAATATCTTTTTGAAAACTTAAATTCTCAAGTTACTGAATTCTAAAAGCCTATTTTTTATTGTACCTCTAATTAAAATGAGTTAAATATTAAACTTTGGAAATGGAGTGGGTATGACAATATTTTGTATCCATGATTCGTTTATAACCTTTTCTAAATTGTATTGAATCAGACTATCCTGCTTAGGTTAATTTCTGGTACTCAAACTTGAGAAAGCTTATTTTTGTTAAAATTTAGAATTACTGAACCTAAATTAGAGCATACATACAATAAGGAAATAAAAGGCAGACTACTTCCCTAGTAAGTCTGTGGGAATTTCTCATTTCATATAAAACATTTCTTAAATTTACATTGTTGCCTATGATTGCAATAAACTGTGGCCAAAAACAGTTACGAATTTAAAATAATGTAATTATATGTTCAGTTTACCCAAATAGAAATTATTATCATGATTGACTGGTAAAGTTTAAATTTTGTTATCTATTCCTAGCCAGAAACATCATCATATATGAATAGGATTTAAAATATTAGACCTTCTCAATAACATCTATTCTTTTTCTTTTATTATTATACCAGGTAGTTTTGGATGTTGGTTGTGGAACTGGAATTCTCTCTATGTTTGCTGCTAAAGCAGGGGCAAAGAAGGTTCTTGGAGTTGATCAGTCTGAAATACTTTACCAGGCAATGGATATCGTAAGGTAGATGCATTTTAAGGCTTGAGTTAAGATTGTTTTTAAATTTGATGATCAGTAGATTTTCTTGTCTTTAATAGCTGTCCGGTGCAGACCTAAGGACCTTATCTTTCAGTAAAATTTCATTCTAGCACAATAAAATTTTAAGTTGAATTGACCTAAACATGTTTGAAGTGTGAACAATCTTTTCACTCCTCTTATTAGAATTATTTTTGTATAGTTTTCTGTCTTTTCAATTATGACTATGAATATGCTAATTATAATAAATTAGAAATCATGGACGTATAGGGTAATGTTAGAATATGTGCTACAAAAGTCAATATATTAGTAGTAGTTTGTTTACCAGGTAACAATTCAGCTAAAAGAAAACTAAAGGTTATTGTTTTCCTTTTGACAGTACTGGTAGTCCTCTGCCTCCTCAAATTAAAATGTGAAGTCCAAGATGGCTACACACAGATTAGAGTGGATTTAGTTTATCCCCTTAAACTTAATTTTGTTCTCTAAAAATACGTCCTCTCTTTGAGGAATTAAGTTAGGTTAATTGAACAGTGGTTGATTTTACAGTTGGCTTATATTCGAGTACGAAGACCTTTATTTGAACTACAACTTCGAGATTTGGTTAGTTGTGTACTTAACCAAAGTATGTTACATGTTGCATTTTGCATGTTACATGTTACATTTGAAACTTAGGAATAATTTCCAAAATAATTTTAATAGCAGGCTTCTCAGCAATTCTTCCCCCCCCCCAGGTTTATTGAGATATAATCGACACATAACATTGTGTGAGTTTAATGAAAATATATTATAAATGTATTTCTTTGATATATTAATGTATTAACATAATAGCTACCACCATAGTGTTAGTTAACACCTCTGCTGTGTCACATGAAATATTGGGTTGGCCAAAAAGTTTGTTCCAGTTTTCCCTCACATCTTAACAGAACACCCTGAATGAACTTCGTGGCTAACCCAGTAATTACCATTTCTTTTTTGGAGGGAGAACATTAAAGTTCTCCTCTCTGAATAACTTTTACCATGCTTACATTAGATTCTTGGTAATGATCCTTCAATGGTCCTCTCACTGATGCCTATGTTTTATTCTTAAAATCTATTAACGTTGATCTTTTCTGATTTGTATAACGTTTAAATAAATACAGTTGTGTAAAATGTTTAAGATGTTATTGCCTGGTGTAGAGTGTAGTGCCATGGGTAAGCAGGCAAAGTTTCAGGCTTCCCTCATGGCTCAGAGGTTAAGAAACTGCCTGCAATGCAGGAGACCTGGGTTCCGTCCCTGGGTGGGGAGGATCCCCTGGAGGAGGGCGTGGCAACCCTCTCCAGTACTCCTGCCTGGAGAACCCCATGGACAGAGGAGCCTGGCGGGCTACAGTCCACGGGGCTGCAAACAGTCAGACGTGCCTGAGCGACTAAGCGCACACATGAAGGGTTTCCGTTGGCCAGTGTTGAGTCCTTGCTCTGCCCCTTCCCCATTGTTTGAACTTCGATTAGGTATCTAACCTCTTTGAAACCTCAGCTGTTTCATTGTAAAAATGAAACTAATGATGACAAGGAGTCACTAATGGTTATGAGCAAGGTAAATAAGTTGTAAGTAAAATACACACCTCAATCTCTTTGGCATATTGCCTGACCTGACATGTAGTAGGTATTCAGGTGTTAGCAGCTGTTACTATTAACAAGCACCAAATGAATGTTAATGGAAAAATGACATTGCTCTTGCTTAGATTTTTTCATAGATGCTGGTGGTTATTATTTTCATAATGCAGAATATGCATATGTGTTGCATATGTGTATACAATCCATAATCTGGTAAAGTTTTTTTAGTTCTTTTGTTACCATTAACTACAACATCATCATTTTGCAGGTTCTGTAAATAGCACCCTCTCTTGCTTGTACCTTGCTTTCGAAACAGGTGTGAGAACCACTATCCCAAAGAAGAGATTGTTTTACGTAAATTAACAAAATTTATTGTTGATAGTTAGGTTATGGTAAGATATTTCTATTAGAAATATGGAAGACCCATGTTCATCTATATATTTGTCATTTTTTATTTCTATGAGACTAGATGTGCTCTCATTTTTTTTAAACAATAATTTTTAAAAATTGTTTATTTTTGGCTGCTCAGAGTATTTGTTGCTGTATGCCGACTTCAGTTGTGTTGAGTGGGGTCTGCTCTTTGTTGTGGTGTGGTGGCTTCTCTTGTGGAGCATGGCCTCTAGGTTTTGGGCTCTGTAGTTGGTGCTTGTAGGCGCTAGAGCTTGGGCTCAGTAGTTGAGGTGCGTGGGATTAGCTGCCCCGTGGCATGTGGGATCTACCCTGTCCAGGGATTGAACCCATGTTCCCTGCATTGGCAGGCAGATTCTTAACCACTGCACCCACCAGGATGGTCCAGTGTATTCTCATTTTAATTCCTGTGTGGAAGAAGAGGATGGTGATACCACTCATTTGATTTTCATTTTATTTCACAGAAGCCCTAATTCCTAGTGATGTTTTAGAAATATATTTTTACAATGATTATATTCAGATTCTTTGTATATAAAACTTAGTGCTGGAATATATAGAAATTTTACATGAGAGCATTTATTGAAAATGACTTAACTTTCAGTTTTAGGTACTTTAACTTAATAATAAAAGTTGCTAACATTAACTTAGTACTTCCTATTGAATTTTTTTTTGAAGTAGGTAAAAAAAACAGTATAATATTTTTTAAGTAGAGATTAAGAAATTGAGACATGGAGAACACATCAGTTTATTTGTAGTACTGCCAGGATTGGATCCCATAGTTGATCCTACAGCCAGTCTACTATGCTGTGTCTACATTGCACTGCTCAGAGGGCACATATTTTATTGTGGCCAGTAGTTTACTTAGAACCTATAGCGTTTGAATATTAGACCTTTTTGTTTTGGATGAGCCAACATTATACTTTTCTTCAAAGATGTTCTACTTTGCCTTTTTTTTATCGTGAAAAGATAAGATCGTTATTTCCATAGTGTTCATAGTATCTCTTCATTGTTTTCCATTCAAAAACTTGAAATTTACACTGTGGATGAAATAACCTCTTATTCTGTTTGTGGATGTATCTATAGAAGAATTTTCATGAAACAGTTTATTGTTAATGTCTGCAGCATTTTCTGGCCCATTTTTCTACCAGATGAGAAAGCAGAATAGCATACTTCTCTCAGCATCTAGAACCATGTGACTTGATTTCTAACTTTGGCTTTTTGACTAGCTTTATGATGATGGGCAAATTGCTTAACTTCTTTAACCCTGGTTTCTTCATTTATAAAATGAGGTTGATGGTAGTATGTGTCTCACAAGATTGTTACAAAGATTGAATTCACTTATAGTGCTTTGCAAAGTGGCTGACATGTAGTGAAGTGAAAGTTGCTCGGTTGTGTCCGACTCTTTGCGATGCCATGGACTCAAATGTGACCCCATGGACCCCAGGCTCCTCCCTCTGTGGAATTCTTCAGGCCAGAATACTGGCAGTGGGTAGCCGTTCCGTTCTCCAGGGGATCTTCCCAACCCAGGAATTGAACCCAGGTCTCCTGCATTGCAGGCGGATTCTTTACAATCTGAGTCACCAGAGAAGCCCGGTTGACATGTAACTACTTACTAAATGTTAGTAGTAATTATGATAATATTAATAGATGATTATAATGATATGTTTGATTTGGCACCAGTGCCTCCAATAATACTTGACATTTGATTGGTTATGTTTCTGAAATGATCATTTCTTGCCACTATCCCACCAACATATGCTGACTCTATTCTGTTTTATGATCTCTATTCTTTTATACCATAAAGTTTCAAGCTTTAGTCAGCTTTATTATGTATTCACTCTCCTCCCTTGAAATCTACTCTCAGCTTCTCTTGTACTTGTCTATTATTGCACTGGAGCTTTCTAGAACCATTATCAATCAATGAAAGCAGCTCTTCTAGCAGACTGTGAATTGTCATTAGCAATTCTGAGGCTTCTTTTGCTGCCAGAAATTTGTACACAGCAGGATTTCTGTAAAACTCCCTAAGCTTACATCTGTAAGAAAATACTTTAAATTCTAAAAGATGGATAGTCCCCCAACCCCACCCCGATTTGGGTAGGAAAAAATTTTTATTGTACCAGTCATGGAACTAGATTTCAACCAACAAAATCTACCACTGGCTAGTTTAAGTCAAACTGATTGAAAGGGGATTTGTTTTGTTTTTAAATGTATTTATTTTTACTTGGAGGATAATTGTTTTAGAGAATTGTGTTGGTTTCTGCCATACATAAAAGATGAATAATTATGTTTCATATTCTTTTAAACATATTCAACTTAATCCTTGAATTGTGCTAAAAAATGATAAAAATAATTTTATCTCTTTTATTTAAAAAGGAGATGTAGCATTTCTAAATAAATGAAAGATGTTTTATTAGCAGGGGCAAATAGAACTCAAAGTAATACGTGAGAGGAATGAGAAATTGTTTCTTTTTCTTGCTCTCACTTTACGGTGAGTGATCATTCCAGAAGCATAAACGTCCTAAGGATAGCAAAGCTATTCAGTTGTCAGGTGATTATATCCAGTGTTCACCCTGAGGAAGCAGAGCTAGCTTCTGGTAATTACCTTTACTTCTGACTGCCTTTGGTTTCTCATTGACTCTGCCGTGGAAAGGTCATTATTCAGATTTTTGGATGGTTTTTTGCAAAGTTTTCATAAGAAGGTTGATCTTTCATATGACTATAATGCAGTACTTTCAATCTCAGTATGACTTTAAAGATGCAATCTTCTATTACCTGGGCCTAGAATACTGTTAGAAATGAAGCAGATCTGTTTCATTTTTATGCCTAGGTCTGTTGTCATACTCATGTAAGTGTTCTTGTCTAGATTCTCGGACAAGAGCTTTATCTTATTAAAGTTTTTAGGCACTTAGTAACTTAACACAATGAATTTAAAGATAGTGGTGGTGTATGTAAGATTTGGAACAAGATCACAAAATATACCAGGATAT